TTGGTAAGAAAGTTTAACAAGTTTTATTGTTTATATAATTGAAATTATTTTCTATTCTGTCAACATGGGCAGGGTGTGTTTTGAGAATATTTATAAGTTCTGAATGGAATCATAGATTTAGTTCCTAAATATGATATTAATATTTTGTCATTCATATGCATTTTTATGTATTTGTTTTCAAAGAAAAATGGACTCTTTGGCTATCATTTGTAATTAAATTCTCTTTCAAGGATCTGAAGCAACTTGGAGTTGGGTGATAATGTCTGAATTAGGTTAGAGTCCATTACTGTTTGAGCCTACTTTGGTGGCATTCAGTTCTATTTTAGGAGTTTGAATCTATGAGATATCAAAGCTATCAGAAGTTCAAGAACAAAGTCAACATGTCCAGGGAAAGATGAACATCATTTAAAAGTCAAAAGATCTCCAAGCATTACCATCCCTCATTGTTTCTTAATAGTGTGTTTTATTGTGTTGCAAGAAAGATATTCCTGTGAAATCCGATGATTTCTGTATACTATAAAGAAGGGGAAGGGTCAACAAGGAACATGTATAAAGGACCCATGGACAAAGCCAAAGGGGGGTAGGATTGAGGGTGGGAGGTAGAAGCAGGTGGGGCAGGGGAAAGTGGTGGCAGGAAAATGGGAACAACTGTACTTGAACAACAATTTTTAAAAAAGCATTTTACATTTCATATTGCAGAAAAAAACTAGGGATAAGGTAAAGGAAATTTTTTTAGTTTTATCATTTTGTACCTTTAACATTATAACGCCTGCATTCACAGAACTTGAATCTCTTTAAGGATTAGAACTCTGATAAACAACTATTAAAGCATTTCTATCAGAAAAGATAGGAAACTAAGAATTTCTTTCTGTCAATCTGAGATAAGAAACAGGCCTATCATAGACGAGATCCTAAAACAATGGGCAACTCTATTGTTTTTCAATTCTATGTTGAAAGGTCTGATTCTTAGGATACTGCAGGCATTTAAACATGTTCTATGCAATATCTCTTCCTGACCCAGGGAAGTCCAGGGAAAGTTTCAGCACTACTTTGGTCACTCTTGAATAGTAAAAATGCCATCTGTGCACTTTTCAATATGAGAAGTATTTTTTTATATTATTGACATTATTACAAGTGTTAAATGCATCACTGCGTGGTGTGATTTGGAGCTGCCACATGCCCTGGGTGAGGGGCCAGGGTTGTTTCTTCTCTTGTTCCCATGACATTCATTTGTCTTCCGACCCCTTGTTTCCTCCAGGGATGAAGCAGGAAGGCAAAAGGCAGAAATGACCTTACTTGGCTGTTACAATAGTAGCCATCTAGCGGGTCTTAGTCTATACTTTAAACTGACTCTGGGGAACACTCTTGAGGGGGCCTTTTCGTGGGTTCTTTAGTGCTCTTAACCACATCACCGGAATTTCTTTACCCGCAATTTCCTTGAGGCAGGTAAATGCTCCTCTTTCCCTCACCCCAGTGGCTCTCCTGGATCCTGTGTGGGCTCTCTAACTAGCCCCTGCTTTGCTGGCGGTGCTCGCCCCGTCCCGTGTTTTAACGACCTCCTCATCCACAAGCAGCTGCTGGTGCAGAAACCTCTCTTTGCTCTGCCATCAGATCATCGTCCGGTCATAATCTTCCCCCTTGGACATTTCTCTGGCAAAAGTAAAATCCCAGTTTACTGACTACCCCAACCACTGCCACCAAATTCCAGGAGACAAGAATCAAACTTCCCGTTGTTGCATTGGAGTTCTTTTCCCCTGCACTTGAGATAAGGGAAAAGTAACCTTCCACCTTGGACCTAAGTACATGCAAATGCAAATTGTTTCACATCTCAGTTCTCCCCATTAATCCTCTTCTAAATGGAAATTTCCTCTTGGCCTTCCCTTTCTCTTTAAAGGGTTGGAAATGAGTCCCAGATTTAGGGTCCCAAAAGCAGTTTTCAGTGCTTTCCTTTTTAAATCTGGCTTGGGCAACTTTGTGCCTTGCTTTGTAAAGTGAAAGTAGCAATCTGTTTTTTGACTTATCTCAAGATTGCAGCTGAAACTGAGACAAAAAATAGTTTATTTTAGCATCCTCTTACATCCAAATATTAGTTGCTTACTATCCTTTATTAAATTACTTCAGGCACACATTGATGCATATGGTATAATCTGCAAGGCACAATGCAAAGTCCTGCAGTGTTCCTGCTCTAGCAGGAAAGGTAAAACAGGTGACAGAGAACATTGAGAGCTACCAAATCTGCTAAATGCAGTAAGGATGAGCCTATAGTCCCCAAATTCAGCCTAGGTAATGATTAGGAGAATAACTCATAGAGCCAGACTGCCTGGGTTTGAATCACAGCTTTTCTCTTTCTGTGTGACCTTAGCCAAGTTACTTGATCACTCTGTGCTTCAGTTTCCTTTTCTGTCAAAGGGAGATAAAATAGTATCTTTCTGGTGGGGCTATTATGATAACTATCAGAGTTAGTATTAGAATTAGTACTTAGAACACTATATAGCTGTTTGTTAAGATAGCAACAAACCTCTTAGATGAAGTTCTTGATTTTCCTGGAAAGTTATATCATGTGTTAGAATATATATACTGCATTAAATAATTTACTGAAAATGAGCAATCAGGAAGTCTACCAGAATGAGGAGATTATGAATGTTCACACAAATAAGTTGTGCAAAAAGGAAAAAAAAAAAAAGTCTTCACAGGCCCTTGGGTAAATTTTAAGTTTTATTGGAATCTCACTGTTATTTATCACCTGAATCATTTTACAAAAACTGAAATGCCTTATCTTATAATGTCGTATATTTTAAAGTAAGAATCATGAGAAATATGGTAGAAAATAAAAATAAGTCCAGGGACAACAGTGTACCAGAAGTCTAAGCAAGCTAGTAAAATTGCCTACTCACTTTGACTCTGAGTTTCCTAATAATCTTAGTTTAAAAGGAAATATGACAAAAAGGAAATATTTTAAGTCATATTGTCTGTCAATCCTAAAACAAATCAAATTTTTTAAAAATTAAAAACCATACTAATTTATTATAAGAAAAAAATCTTTTGTGGGAAGCAAGAACCAAGAAAGAGAAAAATGGAAATCTGTAGGACATGTACACGAAAGAGACAATGAGCACTGCCCCAAACAACATCTTTAAATACTTCTGTTCAATTAAGGCAGTTTTCTTTCTTTCTTTATTTTTTATTGTTGTTCAATTACATTTGTCCCCATTTTCCCCCCATTACTCTCCCCTGCCTTACTTACCCCGCCCCCGCCCTTGTCTTTGTCTATGGGCCCTTTATACATGTTCCTTGACTTAACCCTTCCCTTTCTTTCCTGTTATCCCCTCCCCTGTCCCCCCTGGTCACTGTCAGTTTGTGCTTTATTTTCTTGTCCCTGGTTCTGTTTTGCTCACTTGTTTGTTTTGTTGATTAGGTTCCACTTATAGGTGAAATTATATGGTATTCGTCTTTTAACACTTGGCTTATTTCACTTAGCATAATATTCTCCAGTTTCATCCATTCAATTAAGGCAGTTTTAGACAAGATTTTCTTATAGTAACTTTCAGTGTAAGCTGATACCATCATCTTGCCACTTAGTTCAATGATGAGAAAGAATCTGGCAAGAGATCTAAAGGACATGGTCCAAATGGTCAGGTTTTCAATATTCTGAATATAAATTTCAACAGAAATGGATGGAGTACATGTCATTTAAAATCCTTTTCCCCATGTAGCTCCTCTCAACTGAGATTTGATGAAAGGTGAACTACAGACAGTTTGAAGTTATATATGTGGACAAAGCCAAATCTACATACTTTAAAAATCAACTGAACTTGTGGTAAAAGTTGACAGCTCTGTTAGAGAATGCTTCTCAGAAACAGAGAATACAAACACACATTTTTCTTTGCCACTTTGTATTACTCAGTTCTAAAGTTAACAAGAAATTTTGTGCTTAGAATGATTTTTTTTTTGTTTTAAATGTTTTTTTATTGTTGTTCAATTCCAGTTGTCCCTATTTTCCCCCATTAACCTCCGCTGCCCCACCCACCCACGTTGCCTTGTCCATGGGTCCTTTATACATGTTCTTTGAATTGATCCTTCCTCTTCTTTTCCCTGTTATCCCCTCCCCTCTTCTCTGTGGTCACTGTCAGTTTGTTCTTTATTTCCATGTCTCTGGTTCAGTTTTGCTTGCTTGTTTGTTTTGTGGATTAGGTTCCAAATATGGGTGAGATCATATGGTATTTGTCTTTCACTGCCTGGCTTATTGTAATCAGCAATGATTTATAATACTGCTCTGCATAATTCAGAGAGGGGGTTACTTTTAGATAGCCATATCTTAGCCTAGATAAAAACTAACATTGAGGGAACTGAATTCTAATTCTAGTACCCACCCATTAAGTTTTGGACCCTCAAACAAGCCATTGTACCTTCCTGTGTCGTAGTTTCATCATCTATAAAATAAATGGAATAAGTTTCAGGCTCTTAGCACAAGATGATTTGTATGTATGTGAATGATGACCAAGAAGCTGCACTCACTAAATGCCTGCCTGTGTGCCCATATCCTTTAGAATGATTTTCTATATTGTGAGAATTTGTCAATTGTCTCTAAATAGATTTCATTGGTCTAACTTCACCAGCTATTAAAAGGGAAAATGTCAAGCCTCAATTTTTCTTGTGAAATATAAAGAGTGGATTAAAGGAGCTGTGTTACAGGACATGAAGGGATATCCTTTCACACAGGCAGCTGTGCACCTTGTCTATGTCAACCTCTGGGAAGAAGGCAGCTCAATTGCCTTGAAAGTCTGTCTTTTGGAATATCAATTATCCATGAAAGAGATGCTTCAGGTTTACCCGGATGTCAAGAACTTTTCTTCTACTATACAAGTTTGTCAGAAGTAAAATTGAAGGGAAGCAGCTGTTGTCTGAATCATGTTCTTAATCAATATCCTTCATGTAATTCTTAGTAAATGTTGACTAATCCATACAACTTTATACAACTTTCTTTCCCTCCTCCCTTCCAGCACCAAGGGAAAATTGGAGTTAAATTTAATGTTGGGACAGATGACATCGCCATCGAAGAGTCCAATGCAATCATTAACGATGGGAAATACCATGTAGTCCGTTTCACGAGGAGTGGTGGCAATGCCACATTACAGGTGGACAGCTGGCCAGTGATCGAGCGCTACCCTGCAGGTAAGCCAGTGAATGTGTATCTGGGGAAGATTTTATGGAAAACAAAGCAATGTTTTGCGTTCGTTTCACCAAATTATGGGTTTTCTAAGGAACCATCAAGTATTTATTAGACTTTAGAGTCGTGTCAATGTACTGCTGTCCTAAATTGTTCTTGATACTGTGTACCAAAGACATTTTATAGAAGAACTGGAAGGCACACGTTATCATTTGCAAACTTAGGACATCAGTGAAACCAGAAAAACGCACACATAAAAGGCGCAACATGTCATAGCTCTTTTTACTGGATCCTTGCATTCGAACAAAGGAAAGGCTTTGTCAAAAGTAACGGAGTTAAAATTTAAAGCTATGGGAAAGAATGTTAAAACATCTTTCCCTGAAAAAAATAGAACCAGATGATTTTTTTTTTTTTTTGATGATCGTATGTAGCTGAAACTCATGAAAGGTGCAGAGGGCCATGGAACACACAGAGAAATAGTAAAGGGGCTATTTATAGCACTGTAAATCAGCAGTTAGAAGAACATGTAAGTAAATGAAGTTCGTTTTCACTGTCAAATAACCATGAGGTTTCATGAGGATTCTGACATTCGTGTTACTCATTTCAAGTCTATAGAAATGAATGTGAAGCTATCATTGAAAAAATAAAAATGATGAGCTTTGTGAGCACTGCATTATTCAAACAAAGACAGGTAGATTAGAAATTTAAACCCATGTTACTTGTGGCTCAATTAAAATAACATGTTATTTTAAAGTAAAGTATGAATGAAAAGTATATAGGTATTTTACTGCAGTTATTGTCCTCTCTGCACTCTGGTACAAAAAGGATCACTTAAAACATCAGTCTCATTTCTCCCTGCTCCCGTATTAGATAGGACTTTTTTTTATGCAATAAATTTATAGCACAGTATAAAGAGTATAAAAAAATTTCATTTTGGACAATAACAGCAATTAACAAAATGGATCTATAAACGTCTATATTACAAAGATTTGTTTCTTGGAAGAAATAATTTAAAGAAATAACTAAGTTACTAAACAAAGATCAATTTTCCTTAGTACTGACTCACAATTATGGAATCAATGTCTGCAATGCCCTTTTGGACCCTTGCCGATTTATAAAATTTTACATCTCCAAGCCTCATTTCAAACCTATTTTATAAACAGTGCTTTTCAAATATTTGCTGAATTAAATGTAACACAAACTGCTCTATGACAAAATTTAGAAGCAAGAGCATTAATAACTGCCTGTTATAGTACTGACAAATAGTAGGCTCTCAGTAAGTATTTGCTGAACTGAAATCCTGGGGAATTATCTCAATTTTCACTATAATTATGAGAATACATACCTTCTGTTCCATCTATAATAAGGTGAAATGAAAAAATCTGGAAGGAAAATAATGTAAATTTTCACGCAGTGTTATATAGTGCCTGATAATCCCTTACTACATTTACTGAAATCCTGGTAGAAATATATTTTTATGATAACTATAGCCTCAATGAAAATACAGAAAAGTACATTGGTGAATTTCCTAAAATGCGGATGAATCAATACCCCTTCACTGAGAGGAAGTCATGGCAGTGGACGCCATCAATATAAAGTAGAATAAGGTCTAGGCCCTGGCCTTGGCATGCTGTTGTCTGCAAGCAATAGACCCAAACATAGAAAATGATAAATTTTATTATTATTATAGAGTGGCAGTTGCCTCTTGAAGCCCGGCTTTGTTTCACCAGTTTATGCTTTTAACTTATTTTAATTTAGTAACTTTTTCCCTCTTTCCATACTTTCCAAACTGGTATCTTTAAGAATGCCATTCTAAAGAGTGTTAATGATGACCTATAGGGGGAGAGAGGAAGTCCCACTCACAAGTTAGTTTGGGAAAGTCTGAATTAAGCTATGTTAAAATGTCTATACTGAGGCTTTATCATATTAATATTTATAATACATATCTAAAAGGGAAGTATGGTTTGCATTTTCCCAAGCACCCAAGATAATCAGAGACTAGTTTTCTAATGCATTAATGCATGTGGGTAAATATTTTATGCTTTTAAAAATTTCCATACCTCACTATTTTATTAGAGCTTATGTGATTACACAGAATCCTCATTTAACTGTGCACATACCAGATACTGTGCACTAGATATAGTTTAAAAAACTTATGGACCCTGTCTTTCTGTGGCATGCTAATATCCAATTTGAATAGCAGACTTTCAAATCAGGCAGTATTAATTAAGTGAACAAACATTTTTATATTTTTTCTAGACTACTATTTGTTTAACATGTAATGTCTTATTTACCAAGTAAATGGATGCTCAATGTAAAAAACAATATAACATATACTTTAAAATCAGAAGCTGGCAATTAATATCATAATACGAAGCAAATCTTTAGGAATAGATATTTTAGATGCAAACTTTTATATTTATTCCAAGATTCCTAGTGCCCTTTTACCAAAAACATATTTAAATATTAACAAATCAAGAGTGAGCAAAGTTGCAGTTATTCTGGAGGATACGTGCAAGTGCAACACACAGGCTGCCCTCAAGAAAACTAGAGCACCTGTGAGGAATTTGAATATATACATATATAAAAAGTTAATGATCAATATATAAAGAGCTCACGGGAGCCACCATGGTTGTCATCAAGTATTTTATTAATCATCTGCTTTGTGTGCATATCAGCATGATGCTGAGGTAGGAAATAAGCCATGAAAATTTCAAACACCCTTTTCTCTTGGAGCTTCATTGGCAGCAACTCCATGAAGGCTGATTACAAATTTAGAAGTACGTGTCATCTAGATTAAAGTTTTTAGAACAAAGTGATTTTATGTATGAGTTCAATAGAAATGTCAAGTATATCTCTTTTATATTGCTCTGTGGGATGACTATTTTTATTTAAAATGTTTTTTATTATTATTCATTAGAAAAACAATTGGACCAATGCCTTTACCACCAGATTCTATAATCAGAGAAGCAGGAACCAACAGACTATACTTGGTTCTTTTTAAAATGCCTCACTGCAAAATATAGCACTTAACCTTCCATTATAGAGCTTTGTGGTAAGTGCTTTTATATGAAGCAATTCATCTGGTAGCGACGCTATACCTTTAATGAAAAGCACATAAAGCATTGACCAGTGGTATTACCCTGTAATTGTCTGGAAGGCTTTCATAAAGAAACTAATTAGTACTGGCATATTATACGCTCTTTTGGAGTGTATGCAATATTCCTATAACTCAACAATTTATATTTTAGAATAAATATTAAATTTTCTAAATATCAGACCCAGTTTCTATTATTTTCTGTGCATGGAGCAAAGTATAGAAATAGCATTTTGCAAACCATTTAACATTGAGAAAATAATTTCTTGATGCTTATCAGTTAAAGCTCTAGAATATAATGCATCATTAATATCTGATTTGTCCCTAATTACGGCGATATTTTTCTCAGTAAAATTTTTAGAGTAAAATTTTCTCTCTCAACAAAAATTGACTTTCTCTTCTCATAGTGTTGATCCACAAAGCCTGACACCATCTTATTTGCTCAGACTAAAGATTGCTCCATATAAATCACAGTTCTCTTGGAGAATAAACCTTTGAGTTTATTTTTCTACTACAGTATGCCAAAAGAGATGTCCTTTATACTATATATTCAATACAAGGTCAAATATTCATTTTTTTTTCTGTCAAGCTAACTTACCAAACCAACAAATATTTAAAGGATGTGTGCTGTATTAAAGGAACATGCTAGGCTTACCATTTGGTTAAAGAGCTAAGTAAAAAATGTTCAAGATTCAAAATACATATGGGAGAAAATGTTATCATATCATATTTGACTAGTTTTTTACTGAGACATACAATAGAAGAAAAAATATGTTGTAAGGAAGAAGAGGTCATTGTGGTTTGCGTAGTCTAGAAACTTGACTGAGATTTTGAAAGGCTAGAGTTTTACTTCGAGGAGGGCATGCATTCATTTTAATGGGAGTAGTAGGAAGAAATAGAGACAGAAAATAATTTAGAAAGTTGTCAAAAAATAAGGCTTAAAATACAGTGTGAGAAAATAAAGAGAATTAATGCAGAATACATTATAAGATCTGGTGAACTAAATAAAAAGGGAGTCAGTCCCACTTTTTAGTTTCTATCTCTTTTTCTTTTTTTAACCATCAATCATTCAATGATCAAATGCTGCAGGTTGTCACCAAACTGCAAGGTAATCAATGAAATGGAAATCTGCAGTAAGAATAAATAGAGGGGTTAAGGACATGGTTTTTGCTTGCTGAAAGTTTAGTCTGTGAGACAAGAAGGATTTAGCAAACATGTCAGTGTAAATAAGCTGTGTTAACTTAAGAATTAGGAGTACAGAGTCTAACTATTACTAGAGTATAAGGAAAGGAGAAAACGATAGTCTGGATTGGTATAACAAAATACATCCCAATATGTATATAAAGATTTGAAAGAAACAGAAGAATAGCCTAAGAAGAGATTCCACAGAGATGCTATAAATACTTTTTGCATGATTATTTGATTTGTGTCAAAGATCTTAGGGGTATCCTATCTAAATCTTTGTTTTCCTCTTGAAAGTCTGGCAAAATATTTCAGGGCTGAGGAAGGTCATATTGATGATTGTCATGTAAATTCTTATACTTAGTTTATATTAATTGATTTATTTTTAGTTCTAGTCATCAATAGATTTATTGACTATCAACTCGAGCCCTTCTGTTATTTAGAGTTTCCTATTTGGTACTAAGTGTGTCAGCTGGTTTGATGATTTTGGTAATTTTATTTATTTTTAACCTGTTTTTTTACCCTGTATGATGTAATTGAGACAAATCTACCTAATTTATAATCATAGCATTTGAAAAAGGCAAGGAGCTTCAAAAATCTTCTATTTCAGCTCCTTCATTTTTCAAAAAAATAAAATGGAATTTTGAAGGGGCTGATTGATTTGATCAAGATCACTCTGCTAGTTGGGGACTCTTGTCTTCTGTCTCTGTGCACCTTACTTTATTT